ATGTTGGCTCAGATTGCAAAAGTTAACAAAAAGATCGAATTCGGCCTTCACTAGCGCAGACCATGAATTAGGGTTAAAGTCACCTAATACAATAAAATCTATGTCAGAAAATTTACATACAGCGTTTTCAATACAAGTAAAAACATTCAAATATTGGTCATTTTTATAACTAGGTGGCAGGTAAACGACACAACATATAAATTTGATATTTTTATAATTAACCATTGCAAACAAAAGTTCCATCTCAGGTGTAAGACCGTCGATGTCGTCGATTGAACGGACGGTGTATGTGTTACGCACAGCAAGTAATACTCCACCCCAGCCGGCATCTGCAGGGCGGTCACGCCGCAATACCGTGTACCCAGAGGGGAACAACTCACCATTGCACACCGAACAGTTTAAAAATGTCTCATTTAGAGCTATAATATCAAAGTCACCAGCGCTAACACTCCTCAAAAAAAAACCGATGTTTTGGACCGGAGACCACGCACATTTTGATAGTAAATACGGAGGTCCTTAAACCGTACTTTGTTTGTTTTCCTGTTTTGGACGAAAATTCTGTTGCCACGGTTTTATACATATGCCTTCCGTCCAGTTGTCAGCTTTCATAACCATGTCAGTTAGGCCAGCAGGGACTCCAAGTTTGAATGATGCATAGCTGCCACGGGCCTTGAGTACATCAACGCTACACGCATCACGGCCGCAGATAGATGTAAGATGATCGCGTACTTGGTCAGCGGTGGTACCCAGCTGAACATAGTATAGGTGTAGGTACGTCTTTCTCTCAGCTGCACTCAACAGCACACTACCAGGGTAGCCGTTCCTTTTAGCACGGATGAATATGAGGATGATTTCTGGTATTCATATTCTCCTTATTAGCTGCAGGGGCGACAGCAGCTGTAAGAGTATTGCGTATGGGGGATTTTGCAACAGCATCAGCAACAGGGGCACTCGGTGGGGCAATATCAGTAGAGGTTTGTGCAATGACAGCAGGAACAACAACAGGGACCTCGACATCAACGACAACAGATTCCCGTCGTTGTAAATTGCTAAGCTGGTTATCGTGGGGCAGATTCGCATCATCCAAATCTCGGCGTGATCTTTCGGTACCAGCGCTAGCATTCTGCGTAGATGTTTCAGAGTGTGCCCTACGTCTTCGCCTTTTCTTCTTGCCTGACTCTTTCGAAGGTATGGTAGCTTGGCTGGCTGTTAGGCTGTTGGGAGTACCCCCATTTAACTGTTCACTACTCAAGCCAGTAGGAATTACCGCCACACCCAGGTTAATAAGGTCCCTCCTCAATCCTTGTAGTTCTGAATGCACCTTAAACAAGTCTATCTCCAGATTTCTGATATACTCATCTTTTTGGGTAAGTATAGTTTTTACCTCCATGCGGAAAGATGTAAGCTCGCATAGTATGCGGTTATATATATGTAGGTGTGTAGCAGATGGTAGGCTTTCTACAAAAGATAGTTCCTCGTGTGGTGAGTGGATTGCAGACTCCTTAGAGGGGGCTAGCTGAGTTTTGGTAGTGTCCATGTCAAAGTTGCGTGTATTGCGCTTCCCAATGTTCACGTTAGCAAAGTCGGGATGAGCAGGATGGAACATCGACATATCGCCATTGATAGGCAGCCCTATGCCGTTGTTTGTGGCCGATGCCTTGGAGTTTTTTGGTGTTAAGCAAAGAGACAGACGTACTGGTTCGTTATCGTTATTGCGAATCCTTCGGTCTTTCGCTCCACACTCTGGGCATTGCCATTGACACTCTCGTTTCGTAGCATATTCTTGCTCACTCATGTTCATACATTGATAATGGTAGTATTCGCCACAGAAATCGCATAGTAGCATATCAATATCCTGTACTTGCGTATTACATGCTCTGCAAATTGAATGATCCATTTTTCTGGTATTTGTGTTGATTTTATAGTTAATTATTTGATTAAAATATGATTGCAGTGTAAATAGTTGTTAAGACTGCGTAAAACGGAACTGCAATTGCGTATAGCTACATGAAATCTTGTTTTCGTACGATGAACGCATCCATTAATTGACAGTTGACACTTGCTGTGACGCCTCTAACTTCACTCTGCCAATCAGCTGTTAGTCCACCGTTTAGGAAGTATTGAATTTTTTATTGAAGCTCAACTAGGTGTGTAGAAGATAGGTAAATGTAGGAAGTTAGGATGAGGTGATGGCATGTAAGGGACGGTGTAACGAAAACTTTGATCGCGTGATCAAACCATGAAACTGAACAACTTTTATTATGAAACCAATGCTGGTAAACAAGAACGGTTTTTTGATCTCCCATACAAAATTGCCTATCAGCTGAAACTGAAAAAAAAAAGTTTCGTTACCCAACAAAGGCTTAATAGTAAAAGTTGTTCACTTTTCTGGTACACCGCCTCACCCTGTCTAAGTTATCCACCTACGATTCCGTAGATAACAAAGCGTGACAAAACTAAATCATTTACGAATAATATAATCAAAATACCTTGGCTTGCGCTGAGGTTTGCGAAATGATATACCTACTTATTATACCGTGGTTTGTATCTAAACTTTTGTGCTTTGGTCGCTGAATGTCGTCTAAGTATATGTGTAGTACTTTGGCTGAGGTTACGCTTTGAATAAATCAGTGACGGAGGTTGCAAGGTGAGCGTTTGGCGGGAGAGCGGGAGAGCACCCGGGGCGTCCTCTAAGCGCGATATCGCATTTATATGAGCTCGTTACGTCCAACCGGCCCTGTTATCGAACTTCCGGCTTCAAGAAGATAGACGCAATTCGGATTTTGACGACCCTTTGACCCTTGAGAACCTTTGACCGCTAATCCGGGCCCGTGCTCCCGTAGGGCTGACCTACTTGAGATAGATGGAGTCAGCTCGCCCTTGATATCTGACCGACGCGAAATTGGCTTTCCTTCTTCCGCAAATTGGTAAAGTTAATAAATGTACAGAGCTGGAAAAATATGGAAAACTTACTAGACTCGTTAGGCACACAGATTGTCCATTGAAAAAAGATGAATAGCGTAGTTAGGTGGTTCAAAAACTTTGACACCAGGCTTCATATTGGTCTGTTCGGTGTCTTGGTTTCCCACAAGACAAGAAGAAACTCTCCTTCAATGCCTGTGTTCCATCGTCGAAATATCAGATTGTATTTTGTTTTGCGTGTGTTTTCGCCTTGAAGTCCGAAGTTCTGCAACTGAACTACACTAGTTAGTGAAAGAAACATCGTGCAGAGTGAGGGAGTAAGATTCAGAAAAAGCTTCGTATAAAAGTCAGTCTTTTTGTGTCGACGAAACAGCCCGATAGATTACGTCGTTAGTAAACAAAGGCTTGGGAGGCTCGCGCGAGACAAGACAAAAAGCAGGAAGTGAACGGAGTGGCAGGTGTCAGTTTGCGCGCAAGGAATTATCCACTGACAACCTCATCGCCGGCTAATAAAAATCTCGCTTAAAGATGGTTCTCATATATTGCCGATCCGGTGCTAATCACACATTGATTTTTGCTTTTAAGCATAGCTAAGACGTCGTCTGGCTGTCGTTCAGCACGTTTGTAAATTGCAATAACATACTCCTAGGCGCCTTGACTATAATAAAGGAATGATACATTTTAACCTGATTTTTACTCCCGTGGGTTTTCGGAAAAAGTCAGTCTTTTTGTGTTGGTGAATTACTTAGTTAACAAAGGGGGAGGCTCGCGCGAGATAAGACGAAAAGCAGGAAGAACGCGGAGTGACAGGTGTCAGGTTGTGCGCAAGGAATTATCCACTGTCGACCTCATCGCTGGCTAATAAAAATCTTGCTTATGTTTCATGAAAGCCACTAAAATAATAACAGGTAGTTTCATGTGCGTTCAGTGTGTTTGCCATGTGGTGCTGTGTGCTGTCTTTCCGTATGATGTTGGCACATGATTTTGTTGGCATAGGTTCCAGCGACGTGCGTTTGTCAAAAAACAACTTATCAAATATTGCAATATAGTTCGGCACGTTTGTTAATGGCCTAATTGTCCTCCTAGATTTTGTGGATCGTAATATCTAAGAATATGTTGGTGAGTTTTTGAAACTGTTTCAGTAAAGACGGTCTTTTTTATGTTGGTAAAAAGCCCATGTTATGTTCGAAGAATTTAAAACACCTTCCATAAATCTTGTCGCAGTAGACAGCTGCATTGCGAGACGCATTTCATTGTTATGTGCACAGCATTAGCTCGAGACTTTTCATCAAAAGTCAAAGCGTTTCTTCTGGCAGTGATTCTTGTGATGTTGGTATTAAGGTGGTTCTCAAACACATCGCGTGATTTTCCGGTTGCGGTTTGTTGGCGAAAGACGTTTCTGAAAACCATAGAAAAAACGGACATACACACGACGCCGCATTCAACTTGCCTGACAGGTCAAATGAACTATGTTAATCAGTATTTTGGTTGGCGTCAAGAAAGGTTTTTAGTTTCATAATTTCAATTGTAAATATTATGAAAAACGATAAATGAATCTATTGGGATATTTGGGATTGTAATGCACTCACAGTGCTATATTGATTATTTTCACTTGCGATAAATGAAATCTGTAATAGTTTTATGCTTATAACTTTTGTAGGTATTTTATTAACGTCCGAGTCAAGTATGTACCTAATTAACATAGTTGTCATCAAAATGTACCTACAGTACACCCAAAAATTTGGGAGACGCAGCGCCTGACGGCTCACTCAGTACTAGCGACGATTTTGACATTTTTGCGGAAATCCTAAATAGGGCGAAGTGATTTTTCTGTAAACTCTATTTTGTGCCTATTGTATCTGTCACGAACCGCAATATCATCCGGTGTGTATGCGATTTAACTTCTTCTGAACAGAAGCTGAAAATTGCATCGCATTGTTTTCTGAGCTGAGTTCCTGGAGATTTCAGTCTACGAAAGAAATACAAATCCAGCATTTTAATTTAAACTGAAGACAGATTCAAGACAGAAAAATATCTCGTATTCAATGGGTGAACTATATTTCGTTAAATCCAGCCAGGCGCCGGTAGCTTAATTGGCAGAGCAGTACTGAGACGGTACCCCCACGGTCCCGGGTTCAAGTCCCGGCCAACGCTTATGAATTTCTCAACTATTTTTAATTTTCATTTACCTATGAGAATAATGTAGCACTATAAGTGCATAAAAATCTTAATACTTTAGAAACTTAGTTGATCAACTGATCGACTTGTAAGTACCTACAACTAGGTAAATTAGGTAACAGACACTTGGCATAATAATGGAGTAGCAAGACCGATAGAACGACGTTACATTTGCTTAGCAAAACTTGAGCAGAGATCATCATAAGAGCAAACATTAGCTCACTTGCGGAGAACGAAGAGATCTAGACCTTGTTACGTCATAGAGTGTATAGACAGAACATACAGGGTGGACCACAGAGTGACGACGTCAATAAAAATATATAGGATTCTTCACATCTTGGGGATGTATTTCCGCAATTATTTTTAGTTTCCGAGTTATTCAACTTTTAAAGCAGTAATTTTTCCTTTCCTTTTTTTTACTTCCGTATAAGGACATTTCGCGCGGTTGATTTCATAGCACGATCTTTATGATTTGTTCTTTTTAGCATACAAAAAAAGGAAAAATGTCTGCCTTTTGAGTTTTTCCCATACAACTTTAAAAGTTGAATAACTCGGAAACTAAAAATAATCGCATAACTTATGTGAGAAATCTAATTTATTTTTATTGACGTCACTCTATAGTCCACCCTGTATAATAGCACTATTACGTGATATTCTATGGAAAACTTGGTTTCGCCCTGCGGTTTTAGCTTGCCTGCTAAAATCAATCATCATCGTAAGAGTAAACATTAGCTCGGTTGCGGAGAACGAAGAGATCTAGACCTTGTTACGTCATAGAATATATAGACAGAATATATAGCACTATTACGTAATATTATATGGAAAACTTGGTTTCGCCCTGCGGTTTTAGCTTGCTTGCTAAAATCAATCATTATCGTAAGAGTAAACATTAGCTCGGTTGCGGAGAACTAAGAGTTCTAGAGCTCGTTACGTCATTGTAGAGTATATAGACAGAATATATAATAGCTCTATTACTGCTATTAAGTACGTGATTTTGTACGGAAGACTAGTTTTTTGGCCTGCGATTTTAGTTTGCTTGCTTCGACTTAGCGAAACTTGAGCAGAGATCATCATAAGAGCAAACATAAGCTCAGTAGCGGTGTAATGCTAAGTTAACACCATTTTACTGCAAACTTTCGAAAAATCCTTTGTTAGTATATGTAATACTTTCATGTTTATATTTCTGCGGCGGAAAACGTAGCCGAAGCCAAAACCGCTAAGTATAGCAAGACGGCCTCAGATTTACTCCCCTCGTAGTTTAGAGTGAGTTTGGTTTTATTTATTTATAAGTATACAATGTAACTTCAGTTGCCCTTTATATTATGCTACTAGTTGCTCCAGTTTCAAGTAAAGCTCCAATTTAAAATAATGTACCACAAAAGCGCAATGCAAAGACGATTATATTCTTCTCTTTTCTTTTATAAAAGCTCAATTTGGTTTCGTAGAGAACGAATATTGTACTATTTTGTGGTTACACGATATCGACTAACTTTCAATAAAAGAACATTTTTGTTGATATAGGATAAGAGAAAAGATAAAAGAATATTATAAAAGTTAGAGTCAATTGGCTTTTCTTTCTGCAGCAATTTTTTGCCGCGTATTATGTTCAGATTCAGAGAATTATGTTAGTAAAAAATCTCATACTCTGCCAAAGTAAACGAATATCAACATCAAAGAAAAACTGCAAGAAAAACACCTACCTAATTATGTTTAAACGATATTGTACTACAGAAGTCTGTATGTACCTACTTACTTAAAAGAGAAGTGTTTTTAATTGCTGTTAAAAGCTTTCCGGGTTGAATAAATAATGTCCTACTTTATTTGAAGCTTGTTTTCACTACGAGGGACTATAATACTTACTTTATTAGGTATTCAGAGTGCAGAGGTGTGGAAAGGTCTCATGTTTGGCTGTGGCTGTTTGTACAGCCAGTAGCTTTGTTTGTTTGCGGATTTCTACCTCAGTGGTTGCCTTTTACCCTGCCAATGACGATAAAAGTTAGCTTGGTAACTCGCTCGCCAGCCTCAACTGTGCATTTTGTTCTGTGATTGGTCGGAAATGTGTCGATTTCCAAGTTCAGTTACTTCTGATTGGTGCATGTAAACACAGTTTCGCCTGCTGCTAATTAAGCTTTGAGTTTTCTCCTCATTGCATCCTGGTTTTGTTACCAAATAAGGGGGTATTATATACTTTAATAGGTATTCAGAGTGCAGATGTGTGGAAAGGTCTCATGTTTGGCTGCGGCTGTTTATATAGAGAGTAGCTTTGTTTGTTTGTGGATTTCTACCTCAGTGGTTGCCTTCTAACCCTTTAGACCCTTCTAACGAGTTAGCTTTGGTATTGTGTTTATGGAACATGAGTTTTAGAAAGTTTATAGTTTTTCGAGTAATCTGCCTGAATGGGTGAACTCTCCTCCCTCTAACCCCTCTAACTGCTAAGTATTTTAACCTAAAATAAAGAAAAGGATAATCTTATGGAAGTCTTGTCTGATTTTCCTTGTAATTATGAGGGATATAATTCTCTATACCGCTCATATTAGGGCCAAATCACATATGCGTCGTATCGTTCAGTCCAGAGTGAGATGACAACTTGCGCGAAAAATAATTGATCTCATATTCTAACAATCTGAGATAATACGAATGAGACAGAATTGCTGGGACAGGCTTATACTATACAATGTGTTTAGATATTCAAATATTCAAATACTTTTTGTATGTGACGTAGGTAATCATTGAGACCGTGAAGGTAAATGTCCAGACCTGCTATACATGTAGGCTAACACCTATAACCTCATCACTAGTTGAGTACGTTGAAGAAAGCTCATGTATAACCCTGATCGGTGTTGTAGAGCATCAGTAACGCTCACGGAAGGCGGGCGGGGGCGGATTCCATGTTTGGGCGAGTTATCTCCCGCGGGGGAGGTATCGTGGTATGATAATTGAATTATGGCGAGCGGTATTCATCACTCAAGTTCAGGTGGGGGAATTTATTCGCTGATATTTTTATTTTCAGATAGGTACATGGGCGAATCCTTAATGTTGCCGTGGAGTGCTGGCTCAGAATATTTTCAACCCATTTGTACCTAGGAAAAAAATGGCAAATAAGTGATGACTACAGAGTACAGCCTGCCTAGATATGCGTTCCTTGTGAATACAACTTCTAGTAGGTACTGCGTTTGCTAATATTTCTGCAAAACGTGGTGGGTATACACATGGGTCTCCTTCAAGTGTCTAGTAGTTCTTCAAGGGACCATAACAATGCAGATGACGGAGCAAACTCGTCTCGCCCCCCCCAAACCTGTCTGTATTTAGAACTATAAAATAACATCTTTCTTAAAAAAGCGCGCATGAAAATTCTGGATTATATTAGTTTTTGTTCCACAAAGAGCGGTAAAAATGAGGTAAAATAAGTACATTGGCAGCGTTCGTGCATTTTCAGCCATTAAAGGAAAGTCTATGTTTAAACCCATAAAAACAGTTACGGTGGGAAACTGCTCCGTGAATGCTACCACAAAAAGACCGTTTGTTCGCGTTCTTTTTAGGTTTTTTAAAAGAGTTGTTTCCTATCTGAAAGAAACAGCTGTTGTTTGTCATAGTTTAAATTCATTACAGAAATAATAATAGCGTAGCATATTTCCACATGCCCTACAGTATACTGGTAGATAATGTCATTGGAATGTACCCATTAACCCTAATATAGGTACAACGCTACGTCCACGGATATTATAGTGTCTTACAAACATCGACCAAGGCCATGCCAGCTGATGCATTTTTATGCATAGAGGCCAATAAAGGGCTTTGATCTTAAAATATCCATTGAATAAAAGTAAGTGATTTAATAATCTAATTTTCTTGACATGCAAGAGATGTCGTTGTCGTTTTATCCTGCAGCCAAACAGCGCCAACGGGATTCACGGCTGAAAACCATAGGATATAAGAAATTGAAGATGCGTAAGTGTATTCGTCGACTTGGTGTCTCTCACGAAAGATGAAGCAGTGTGTAACTACTTATTTCTAAAACTGTTTCAAATACTTTGGTATAAGTTCCTCTGAAGAACAAGGTAAAGAATGAAGGCCAAGCTGGACCTTTGAACAACATCCTTATTATGTAACAAACAACATAGGTACAAACGCTTTCTGACACTGGGTCCATCGGGTCGTTGAACAACTCGGCATGAACTCGGCTTTCTGAAACATGCCTACAGAAACATCAATCTGGAAAACGTAGCTTGCGGTGTGATCGGGCATTGCTTACTGGTTGTTGCACCGGTTGCTTGGATTTATAATGCCCGTAAAAGTACCATTTCTTAAGTTTTCATGTTTTCGTGCTTACGATTTATTAGATTTGAAGAGTTTTGCCGACGACAGTCCCGAACATATCAATTTACACCTCGCAAACCAATTTGCTGCGAGCCTCGGCGCCTCGCGAGAATTTGTGAAGCTTATTTTTTAAATTGAATTTATGATATGTTGAATTCGATTTATGGTTGAATTTATGTGTATATGACTTCTCAAGTCATGTTCAGAAAGCAAGAGAAATATTTATGAAAACGGAGGACTGTGAAGTTGTGAATAGGTATGTTGTTACCTCATTTCCCTTAATAGGTACTTGATCTGACTACAGACCTTTTTCAAAAGTAGATATTTCAAGATTGAGCACAGTATAAGCTAATTTAATTAACTGGTAAAATTGGTGACTATCGGCAGTCCTGTAGTAAAACTTCATCCATGGTTTCATGGTTGGTTCTTAGTTCATAGTAAAGGCCCTGTAGTAAAAATCATCCATGGTATGGCTCAAAATAGCAGGAAATAAAGCTTATTCAGAGGCGCTGTACGTAGTAGGTAATGTTTTAAAAATAAAATTAAAGCGGATGCCGGAAATGTTAAAATATTTTTACACGAGTGTAATATATGGCTCCGGAGAGGCAAAAAATAAAATTGAATAAGGCATAATTTAGGACTTTGTAGAGAACTGAAGC